AAACCTTCTATTTCAGTGCAATATTGAAATTAGCTTGAATTCTTCATAACATATCAATAGTGGGTGACCAAACGGGTCACGGGTGGTCTAGTTTATCCTAATTGTTTTAAATGATCATTTGTGAAATTGGAGATTGGAATCAAACTTAGTTGAAACGATCGTCTTCAGGCAACATGTAACGTGATGATTGGTTTCTTCAGACAACATGCAACGTAATGGCTGGTTTCTTCAGGCAACGCATATCGTGATGATTGGCTTATTAAGGCAACATCTAACATGATAATTGGTTTCTTCAGCCAAAATGCAACTTGACAGTTGGTTTCTTCAGGCAACATATGACATGACTGGTTTCTTCAGGCAACAAGTAGTATGACTGGTTTCTTCAAGCAATATGTAGAATGATTTGTTTCTTCAGGCAATATGTAGAATGATTGGTTTCTTCAGGCAACATGTAGTATGATTGCTTTCTTTAGGCAACATGTTACATGATAACTGGTTTCTTAAGGCAACATGTAACATGATTGGCTTCTTCAGAAACTCGCCATGTTAGATTAGATAATGTCTTAAAAGTGATATAAAAACTCCTGTTGGTACGCTTTATGAATGATGGTCAAATCTCACTATTCGACGAGACAAGGGTAGTCCAAATGTTGTCGATGGGCGCTGTTGACTAGCTGTCTTTACTAAAAATCAACTTGAACTATACCCAGTTAAAATCCTCCCTGTTCTTCCTGGCTAGTGTTTGGAATGACTTCATGATTTCGTATAGTTACCTAAATACACGCGGTATAAAGCCGTTGGTTCACAAATTTGGTATCTGTCATAAACATTCAGGGACTGTCTAATCTTCTGACTTTTCTGATATTCGAACAGTGTAAGTTACACACAATTAAGTAGGCGCAGTAAAGCGCGTACGAACTCTTCGTTTGCAATCTCAAACTATTCAGACTTAAATCTGATCTACACAATAGATTCAGGTTACAACAATGTTTTATATCGTAACGTTACCACAGTGTTTTACGCTGTCATGCTGTACAATTTTTTACATCGTCACGTTACTACAATGTTTCATATCGTCACATTAAAACGTTTTATATTGTTAGGTTACCACAGTGTTTTACATGATTACATTTTTTCCATTGTTATGTCATTAAAAGGGTTTAAATTTTCAGGTTACTAGAATGTTTTTACATCGTTACGTTACTACACTGTTTTACATTGTTAGAACTTAATCAATTTTGGAAGAATAAATTTTTGTTCTTAAACTTATTCAAATTTTGAAAAGTGGATATGGATATTACACATTAAATATTTTCTAGAGTTTTAACATTAACGTCTACAATTATTTTTCGAAAATTGAAACATGAAAATGATATACCAAATGTTTAATCGTCATGTTTTTCAAACGTTTAGAAGTGTAAGTTATTATATGTTATAATTAAGTATTCGTTTGTTTTAGAGAAAAACTGCACTGGGCTATCTGGTGTGTCCAACGCGGGGAGTCGACCCCGTGTTTTACCGTTGGAAGTCTGTAAACTTATCACCATTTCACTGGGGGGGGGGGGGGGGGGGAGCATTAATGAAGTGAAATACGTAGTTTTTACCATAAAATGTTTGGTAATCAAGTAAAACAAGACACGCTTGATTTGACAGTAAAAAGTAATGTACCAAAATTCAAACATAAAGAATTAACTAAATTATTTTAATAATTCTAAAATCGTGTTAATAATGTAGTAACACAAAACTCAAGAGGTCACTAAATGTAAAGAATGAACTGCACTCATTAAAGTTGAAATTATTTATTCTGTAATAAAATATAGATATTGATAAGTAAATAAGCCTTTGAGGTAAGGTTATGAGAAATAAAACATGACAAACTAATATTTTAAAGTAATATTATAAGCATGGATTTAAAGTTATGTTGGAAAATATTTTCCACGTCATAATTATCAGCTCACTTACAACTAGAAACTGACACTATGAGTTCACAAGGTTGCAACTTTTCCCATAAACAGGACAACACCAGTTTCGGCGTGGCGGATGAAGAATATAAACGGATGATTTGCATAAAACCTTGGTGACGAGGCTGAATAGCCGACTACAGATGCTCCACCAACAGCAGCGGCTGCAGTTCCTTCTTCATCAACCTGAATAAAGGTTTTGTGAAATACATCCGAAACATAAAGATTTCCCTCGCTTACCATACCTGTTAAATTAGCGTGACCAAAAAGATGATTTATTCCCATATCAACTAGGCTACGTTTTAGTGTATTAGTGTAGGTTTCCTTTAGTGTAAACTTAGGGATAAGCACGTCGACCTCCATCTTACGCAGTAGTGAATCGATATAATTAAGAGAGGAAGAAGACAATGTATTTTCCAGTTCGGACAGCCCAGTTCGACTTCTAGGTAACAACAGTAACATATTTATTTTATTGCCTTGGTAAGGCATTTCCAAAGCAAACGATTTCAAGTTGGGCACATAGGCAAACGGAAATTCCGATGTCATATACATCATAACAACATTAGTCCGAGTTATTCCGTTGTTGAAGAAGGGTAATACGTTGGAATTTTCTGAATCAAACTTTGATTTCCAGAGACCTTTGAAATAGACAGCGTTGAGGAAAAACAGACGTGTGTTTGGTTTCAGAGGATCGTCCAGAAGAATAGGAATGTTGTTTCTGGTCTTCTGAGCAACCCATTTATTGATAGCTTGCTTAACCTTTTCAGGTCTATTAACAAAGTCCACTTCTTGTGCCTCTACTCCAAAATTCCTTTCCAAATGTTGCTTGTATTCGTCCAAAATGTGGAAGGAGTCTTGAACCAGAAGGGCACTTGCCGTTTTCAAGGTGTAGTCATTGGAATTGGTGTTGAGTATGTTTATTAGTTGTTGAAATCCAAGGACGATGTCATCAGGACTCAGTTCAAGCATATTGTAACCAAGTGCTGTGCTCATTTCACGTTCTGTAATACCACGTGACCCAAGGTACAACATTGCCATAACGCTAGCCATGGTGTAAGGAGAGATCAAAACATTATCATTTCCTTGAAGTTTGTTATAAAGACCGAAACCAAAGTAATTGGTAGCGTTGGCAATCTTTGAAGCTCCATTTTCTTGTTGAACGTTCTGAATAGAGGACTCTAAATAATTATCAAATAAAGAATTGCCAAAGCAACATTCTGCGAAGAAGATGAATTGTAATGCGGAAACAAAGCATATCTTGAAAGTTGAAATCTCCATTTCCTTCTTATTCTGCAATAGAAGAATATATGTAAAATGAGGGACTTGATTAAATGTATTTTCCTGGTAACCAATTGAAACAGATGTGGTATTAAAGATAAAACATATATATTGTTTCAACAAAACCCAGTTGATAACTCATTTTATAAAGAATAAAGACTCATCAATACAGTTAAACATCAGTCTCCCTAAATCCTATCTAATGGAGTGATAGTTATATATTAAAGTTACAGGTGAGTACCACTAAATACTAACTAATGGAGTCATAACTATATTAAATTACTGGCCAGTACCATAAATGCTATCTAATGGAGTCATCACTATATTAAATTACTGGCCAGTACCATAAATCCTATCTAATGGAGTGATATTTATATATTAAAGTTACAGGTGAGTACCACTAAATACTAACTAATGGAGTCATAACTATATTAAATTACTGGCCAGTACCATAAATGCTAACCAATGGAGTGGTACTTCTCTTGAAGCAGATAAAGTATTTTGATTGTATCTGCATCTTCAATTAGTTTTTTTCAGTTTATTGAAAACAATTGTATGTACGAAATATAGATCTGAAAAATTTAAAGAGGCTATTTAATTCTATTTGAGTAGATAAAACATTGCTGTTTCATGGAATTCGTAAATATTGTGAAGAAAGACAAGACTGAATAAGCATGTTACATATTTTTCTTTTACTGCTCAGTTTGTGGATATCAAGAGATATAATCTCAATCAGGAGAGAATATATATCAAAGTACAACTTGGGCTTGAATAACTGTTTCGAAGTTTCAATCAAAATTCACCGAGAGGCAAGTTCAGCAGGATTCCTGAATCTATCAAGTTTAGCAGGAACCATCAAGTTCAGCAGGATCCATACTGAATACATCAAGTTTAGCAGGATCCGTTCTGAGTCCATCACTTCAGTAGGATTTATCCTGAATCCAATGAGTTTAGCAGGACCCATCTTGAATCCACCAAGTTCAGTGGGTCCATCATGAATCTATCAGTTCAGCGGAAATTCACCCCAAGAAAATCACTCAATCCCACAGTTTGAAATCACGAGAAAATTTCACGAGACGTTAATATTTACTAATCAAAATAATTAGTCGTACCTGAGATAATTTACGCACGTGTTTTGGTCACTATGAAATAAACAATCCTAGTTAGTTTAATTGTAATGTTATTCGTATGTCAGTAGAATGTTTACAGTATAGTCTATGTCAGTAGAATGTTTACAGTATATTGTGTCGTTTATGTTGTTAAGTTTCTTCTGTGACAGTGTTATCACAATTTAAAAACCGATGTCAAAGTGAATTATAATATCACTGAACATATTTACCTTTATTGATTCGGATTCATATTAGTGCGAAATATCATTATAGTAAACTATACTGTAAACATTCTACTGACATACACTATTTGTTTGTTTGTTTTTAATTATGCACAAAGCTACACAAGGGCTATCTGTGCTCTGCTCACCACGGGTATCGAAACCCGGTTTCTAGCGTTGTATGTCCGCAAACATACGGCTGTGCCACTGGGGGGCGACATACACTATACTGTAAACATTCTACCGACGTACACTATACTGTAAACACCCTACTGACATACACTATACTGTAAACAGTCTACCGACATATACTATACTGTAAACATTCTACTGACATACACAATACTAACATGTAACGAAAAAAAGATGATTTCAGAAAATGTCAAAAATGCCAGTTATTCTCTGGTTAGTTTGTTGGAGGCTCCAAGGGGCTCAGCGGGAAGTCTGAAGGCGTATTACGCTAAAAATCGAGTTTCGATACCCGCTATTTAACTTTGTAATTAACAACAAACAAACAAACTTTTTTGCTGGATTTTGCACAAAACTACAAGAGGGCTATCTGCACTAACCGTCCCTAATTTGGACGTGACAAACTGTAGGGAAGGCAACTAGTCAGCAATACTCACCGCCAACTCTTGGAAGACCGAATAGTGAGATTTGATCATCAAAATTATAACGCACCCACAGTTCTAAAGTGCGGAGTGCAATGTTTTTGTTTGTGGCTGTAACGGGGCGCAAAAGATGGAACTTCAACTCTACAATCCGGAACGGCAATCATTAGGCAGCACTCGGCCCAACATTTCTATGTTCTTCGAATTTAGAGCTTTGTAATTATAATTTCAATATTTCATGGCTTCACTGTAGCCGAGCGTGGCACAATGGTTAGCTCTCCAACATTTGGTTAGTCAAGAGTAGCCCAAAAGTTGGCGATGGAAGTTATTTACCATCTGCCAAATTTCTAGTCTGTCAGCTCAAAATTAGGGACACCTAGTGCCAATATCTCTTGCAGATACGTAGACGCGAATATCTTAAAACAGAGTACTTTATTAGGTGAGTAACTTTAAAGTAGAAAACTACTTACCATAGTGTGAACTCAACTTCAAACTTAATGAGGGTTTTCTGCAACCTTATAACCAAATCAGCTCGTAAAAAGTCATTGCTTATATAGGATGTTGCTAAGTGATGTAAAAAAATCTGAATAGTTGCGTTGTGATTGGCTTACTTTTTTTATGACGTCTTTATCTAAAGTCCCACCATTCTGAAATTCCTGTAGAAAAAATAAACGATAAGAAATATATTAATTGAGTCATTAGATCCACTGTTTCCGTCAAAGCTAATAATTTCATGTACTGACTATTAAAAAAAAGAATTTCAGTTTATGTGTATGTTTCGGTTTGGTTTTTTTAGAATTTCGCTCAAAATTACTCGAGGGGTATCTGCGCTATCAGTTCCTTATTTAACAGTGATACGCTAGAGGGAAGGTGGCTAGTTAACAACACCCACCGCCAACTCTAGGGCTACCCTCTTACCAACGAATAGTGAGACTGACCATCACATTATAACACCCCCACTGCTGAAAAGGCGAGCATGTTTGGTGACAGGGATTCGAACCTGCGATCAGCAGATTGCGAGTCGTGCACTCTAACCACCAGGCTGTGTCAGGCCGTAAGGTTTCAGGTTGTTAGTTAGTCACCACAAGAAAAAACTGGTATAATTATGCACGTTAGAAAAGCAATGTGTATCATTGATGCTTTTGTCCAATTATTGTGATATTCTTCCTTGAATATAACAGTTGTGTGTACCATCATGTAATTTGTTTGTTTGGAATTAACACAAAGCTACACAATGGGCTGTCTGTGCTCTGCCCACCACGGGTATTGAAACCCGGTTTATAGCTTTGTAAGTCTGCAGACATACCGCTGTGCCACTGGGGGGAGGCACCATCATGAAAGAGCCAATCTCACTCTGTCGGGAGATGGTATAAAGAGACTTTATGATGTAGGAGATTTGGTCTGGTTGCGCAACCGAAACCGGTGCAATGGAGAAATCTCCCAATTTACAAATTTACTAATCACCTTTCTGATGTTACTTACAGAATAAAAGGTAGACACCATAAGAGGTCGAAGCTCGGGCATGTGAATCGACTGTGGAATTGCCATTGTCTTGAGACAGATTCCCGGACAGTAATAAACAATGAGGAAGCAGGAGAGCTCCAGTTTTACAACTAGGCCAGAAGTCACCTGATCAATCGAAGAAGAGAAAAATAAAAAAGTTCAAAGTTGTTCTTCGAAACACAAGAAGCCAACTAGAGTTGGTTGGGAATAAATATATATATACTTAAATTATCCGCGTTGGTTGAAATTTAAGGGGGTGTAGTGTTGTGAAAAGTATATATACATATATATATATATATACTTTTCACAACACACACACATATATATACAGTGTAAATATTGTTGATATTATTATATTTCTTTATGATTAGATATATATTGTTATAAATAGATGGCGCTGTGGGTATGACTATTAGCAAGTTTTTAGTTTATACATTGAGAAACTAATGATTATTGAGATCAAGTAATTAAGCGAAGGTTCGAGAAAGCAAGCGTGTTGTATGTAAATATAAACACGTATTGATAGAGGAAGATATATTGATAGTAATAGAATTACTTGTTAGTAAAGAACTGAGTTGATGTATATATATATTTCTATGTTCTGAGATAAATTTTTTTGCCCTATAATTCCTCCAAGGTATTTGCTTTTGGACAGATATGGTTTAATCAACTAGGAATGATTTAGAATGTGCTAAGAATAAATTATTTTGCTTTTAAAGTTCATAGATTTTATAGCTCTAGTGCTGGCTAAATATAAATTAATCAGTTGGAGTAGCCACTAGTGGGGTACTCATGGGATTTCTCCTGTTTCCTCTTTCAACAAATGGGGCAAATATACAGTCTACGTTTTTTCAATCATTACTGGCATACTTAGGACAGAAACAGAAACATTATTTATACTTAGAAGTGGTAAAATATTAATTCTACAATTGCATTTCGATTTCAAATCCCATTAGTTATCAGAGGGATTTCTTTTTCACACATTGTTTATACATACTTTCAAGATAGACACACTTATATTAAGTAAGATGTTTTTATGTCACATGTTACTTATTATTTTTGAAAAAAAAAACTGAAATAGAAAATAACGTGCTCTTTGAATGATCAAGTTCGGTGGACGTGAATAATTTTAGTTTTATGTATTTTCAATATTTATATTTCCACTGACATACTTCGAAAAAAAACAAACAACAACAACACACAAACAAAAATACAACTTTCATAAACATCTAATAGAACATCTGCTAGTACATCAAATAAGGGGAAATAAACGTATGTTCTTTTAAATCTGAATACGCCATATCAAGACTGATAACCCGAAATAGCTCACGCACGAATTTAATACGAAGGCTAAACTGAAAATAAGAAGAATGTCCAAGAACATCGTTCTTAAAAGCGATCAATTTTCGGTTCCATCGCACTATCTACAAACACCAAACAATTGCAAAATGTAGTTTTTATACATGCCGTTCCACCATAACTTTGTATCAACTGTGGTGATAACGTAAATTGTTGATTTATACATTCAAAATCGTATCAGTATAACGTAATAAACTCCCTGTATACCCGATTTCGCTCTTTTTCAATTCAATTCAATTATTTTGAGAAATTCCGCTCCTGCTTAGTAATCCTGGACAAGATAAAAACGGAGAATATCACCAGTAGTCTTGTGGGGTGATCTATATCTTATATATATATGGTTCTTAAGATGGCTTTTACTAAACAGACAAACTAGATAAGACAAATATTATATTGATTACAATTTTAAAATGTTTCTGTAATTGTTGAATAAATAATATAAATACGTTTTATAATTTTTCTCAGCCACTTATCAAAACATTTTCCTCCATTTACATCCTCTCGGGGCCCAGCGTGAACTAGGGGGTAGCGTGCCAAGCTGTGGATCCAAGGATCCGCGGTTCGAGTCCCGATGGCGCAAAAGATCTCGCTCCTCAGTTTGGGGGCGTGGGTGCGCTATAAGAATGACAGTGAAGTCCCATCATTCGGTCAGAAAGAAGTAGCCCAAGAGCTGGTGGTTGATGTTGTCTAGCTGCTTTCCGTTTAATTTAGTTACAAATTCGCGACAGTTAGCGCAGGTAGCACTTGTATAGTATATCCTATTCATTACATACGACTTAGTATAAAAAATTATCCCGATCGATGCTTACCACACACACGCATATATTTATGTATGGTCTTATATTTCTTATCAAACACAACAATTTAGAGTGATAGTAAAATTTAATACCATGTCATTGAACTTGAAAATAACGTGTTTTGTTTACAAACTCATTGGAGCAATGTAATTTTACACAAAACCTAATTAACTAGCAAACAGCTAAGCAAAGTCCTGTTGGTTAAGAGGCTCGACTCGCGGGTTCGAATCCCATTATCGAACGTACTCATCCGTTTCAGCCGTGGGGACGTTATGAAGTGACGGTCAATCACACTTTTCGTCTGTTCTGTTTATAGTTAATCAAAAAAAGCTGCAAAACGGGCCATCAGTGCTGTGTCCACAACAGAGATCGGACCCAGAATTTGAGATTTATAACTTTCAAGTTTATCGCTGAGCCAACTGAGAGTACATAACATGTTAGAACAGAAGAAGCTGATCTGTTCGAGGTTTAAAATTTTCATCTTAACAATAACACGCAGCAAGTACTTTTCTATATCAAATTCAGTCTAGTTCTGTCCTAGAATATATAAAGGAAAGACTTGTTATAAAATGGAAACAAAACTGTCTGTTGAAGAAATTTCGATAATAATCTGTGAAACTATTAATCATTTTATAACTTCTTCTTCTTGGGCTTCTTGTGAGAAACTACAGAACTCTGCGATAAAACATAAATAATATTGAATCGAGGAAAGCAACGACTATAGTATGTTTCACAAATATTTCATTTATTCCAACCATGGTTTCGTTAGTCGTAATAAGTGAAACGTACAGTCGTCTTTGTTTTTCTCGATTCTGTAATTATGGAGTGTCAAAAGGTAACGACGGTTTCAAGTAATAATTATATAAATATTAATAGTCGGTAGTAAACATATAGGAATACTTTTAAAAAATCAGTTTAGTAATATTACAACGAAGGTTGAAAGTTTACTGTCGTGTTATGAATTTCGCGCAAAGCTACTCGAGGGCTATCTGCGCTAGCCATCCCTAATTTAGCAGTTTAAGACTAGAGGGA